TTCCTTCCTTCCTTCCTTCCTTCCTTCCTTCCTTCCTTCCTTCCTTCCTTCTTTCTCCTCCTCCTCTCCTTTTGTCCAAATGGTGAGTCATACCCTTACATGTGGTTTCTCTGTCCAAAGGAATATAAATTTTGATCACATACTTTGAAAGGGATCTTGGTGTTTGGGGGCTATATTTTTTTTTTTCCTTCCCTACTTATTTATTTTATTTTCCTACTTATTTCCCTACTTATTTATTTTCCAAAAAGAAAAAACACTGGGACAATTAACACTTTTGTCTCATGTAGTTTTCATTTATGATTTCTTGAAATATAGCTCTGGAAAACCAGGTGTCAATCTAGCCCACTGGGATTCAAATGGAGCTATTTGACTATGTCTTTAAATCCAAATCAGTCTGGCTATCACTGACCAATAATAGGTTCCAACCTAAGCTTTACTTGCTCATTACTTGGGTGTTTATGGTTCAGGGTGAATGTAAATATCAGTTGTTTCTGTTCTAGCCAGAAATCCTGAGGGTCTCCTCCTTCCAGATTGATTCTTTTGAGAAGGCAAATTAGGTCATCTATTGCCTCAATTCTTATCTATCCTTTAATCTCTGAATGGATGTTGCCTCAGACAAACTGTGGTCTGGGAAAGACCTTGGCTTAAAAAGGCCAAGGTCTTCCATTGTATCTGAGGTTATCTCCAGTCATTCTGACCTATGTCTTGCCACTGGACTCAGCTGACTCTGGAGGAGAGAGCGAGGCTGATGACTTTGTACAGCCCTGCTTCACTTAAATCCAATTCACTTGCAAATCAAGTCATTGCCCTCGTGATGTCATTGGTCCTCTTCAAGAACAAAGAATGAATAACAATATTGCTCCCCCACAATCACTCCCCCCTCTAATGTTCAATCTCTCCTTATGTATTGGTTCATTGCCTACTACCTTCAATCATGCTCATGTTTCTTCCATTCTTAAAAATAACAAAAACACTCCCAAAACCCCATTAAACACTAGCAATTCATCAAGGGATCATGTTATACCTCTCCTCCATTTCAAAATCAAAATCTTGGAAAAAGCTATCTACCATCATTCTTTCTTCTCTTTCTCTCCTCTCACTTACTTCTCAACCTTTTCTAATTAACCTTCTAGTCTCAACACTCAAGAAATTTCTCCTTCCAAAATTACCAGTTCCTTCTTAATTCCCACAGTTGGTGGCCTTTTCTCAATCTGCATCATTCTTGAAACCTCTGAAACATTTAACACTGTTGATCACTTTTTCTCCTATGTATTCTCTTCCCTCTGAGTTTTTCTTCTACCTGTCTGATAGCTTTTTCACAGTCAACTTTGCTTATTTATCATCTCTAACACTTATCCTCCTGTGAATTTTCTACAAGACTCTGTCTTGGGTCCTCTTCTATCCTCACTCTACATGCTTTCCTTTTGTAATCTCATCAGCTCTCTCAAATTTATCACTTCTATGCAGATTACTCTCAAATCTATCTCCAGCCCTAGTTTTTCTCCTGAGCTTCAGGAACACAACTTCAAAGTCCTATTTCATATTTTAAACTAGCTAATTGGTAGGCATCACAAACTCAGCATATCCAAATCTGAACTCAATATCTTTCCTCCAGAATTTACTCTCACTTCAAAACTTCCTTATTTCCATTGAGGGTGTGACCATTCTTTGTCACCTCAGTATCAACCTAGAATCTTCACTGTCCTTCACCTCACATATATAATCATTTGCTAAATCTTGTTATTTCTATGTCCAAAGCTTTTGCATCTATCCCCTTGTCATTACTCATAGAGACCACCATAGTCATGCTTTTACTATCTCTCTGTCTCCTGGACTATCTAATTGATTTCCCCCAACTCAAATCTCTCCCCTTTTCAATCCATCATACACAATTAAAAAGATTATTTTCCTCAATTGCAGGTATGCTCCTATTCTATAAGTTCCAAAGTCCTGCACTCTACCATTCAAACAAATTGACTTTCTTGCTCTTCCTCCCATGTGAATCCATCTCTGCACCTTTCCACATTGTATAGAGTAAGCAGTTAGTAAATATCAGTGGAATGGACTAATAAATGAAACTGTTTACTTAGATTTACAATTGCTTACATAATATGTTAACCTCATAACTTAGAATTATTTTGTGGAGATTTAGGTAATCACTCCCACTTTTACTAGTGTATAGGACAATAGCTACCTATTTTTACTTAATATCTAGCACTGAGATGAAGATCAATGAAGAAAACAAAAACAATATTGTGCTTCAGAGTATGCAATAGATCAAATATGCAGAAGAAGGAAATAAGTGATGAGTTGGGCAACAGACTTCAAAACTCTTGTCCTGTTCTGTCTTGTCCTCTCTTCTCTTCTCCTCCATTCCTCTTCCCCCTTCTCTATTCACTCCTCTTCTCTTCTTTCCTTTTCATCCCCCCTTTCTCTTGACTTATCTTAATGATAATTTTAAAAGATAGAGGAAGTAAGGAAAGGAACTGGTATTCTAGCTGCATAAGAACTCATAATATTGCAACCTGGAAAGAATTTTAAAGATTTTTTTCATGGAAACTATTATTTTCATAAACTCCCCACACCCTGTATTCATGCAGTTGAATTTTAAAATCCATCTGTAAGACTTTATTTACATTTATCTCTATTAAACATCATCTTTTGTAAATTCTTCACTAGCTTTGAATCAAATCCTTATAGGATGCATGATATGGTAGATTGAAAAAGCTAACAGGATTTTAGGTTACTTTAAAAAATTACACATTATCTACTGTATTCTGTCCTGGGTAGACTAAATCTAAAAGAGTGTTCACTCCTAAGACTATATTTAGACTTTAGTGTCCATTTTCTTTTAAGAAGAACATTGAAAAATTAGTGAACATCCTGAAAGAAGGTGACCAGAAAAATGAAACTGGTGATTATGTTGTAGCAAAACTGGTGATGTTTGATCTAGAGAAGAAAAACTTGAAGTGGGATAGAAATGCTATCTTCAGGTATTTGAAGGAATATCATGTGGTAGAGAATTAGATTTGTAGCAGTAGGGGAAAGATGCACAGAGTCAGATTCAGGCTCTATGTAAGAAAAACTTCATAAAAATTAAAAACTGTCCAAAAGTAGAATAGAATTCCACAGAAAATAGTAGTTTCCTCATCACTTCATCATCTTAAAGAACTTGGCAACTTGTTATAAATGCT